ATAGAAGAACTGAATGCTAAATGTGGTGATTTGTCGCACAAAATAATATGTCACCATTAGGTAGGAGTAGTTGACTGTTATATAAATGATACAATACTGTAACCTCTATTATGTATGTAAAGGTGAAAATAATTTTTAAAAAATAAAACTACAATTAATTGTTACCTCCATTGATTGCCGTTAAGTTATATTGACTTTTATTGTAAGTTAAGTTATAACTAGGTTTAGGGAGAGGTAGTGTTGTGTTGACTGAAGTCTTGTTATAGGGATCAGTGGACAGCCATTCATACTTAACTTCATTGGACGGATAATTGGCTACAAAAGAGTTAGAAATATTTTTTACAATTTGTCATTGAAAACAACAGACTTTCAAATAAATAATGAGTAATTTAATTGATATGTAATGATGATCAAAATTATGTCAAATCACTCACCACTTCTCATTTTAATGCTACAGATTTGAGTGTCAAATGGATACGAGTGTAGATCCAGAGGACAGCCAACTGTTGCCGACTCCCTGTCCAACATTTTTAAAAATTAACATTTTAAAAATAATTTATATAATTTGTTAAACCTTTTATTAACTTTTAAGTGACAAAAGCTGGTGTTTATTATATCGATAGTGAGCACCGGTTCAAGGGTTTGGGCCATAGCTCTGACCCTTTCGATGATGAGGTCGGGAATCCATATTTGCTTTGATATACTTTTTCCGGTAATTAGTATTGGTTTTGTTAAATCTGTTTTATTTGACGCCAAATTTTCCACAGCTTTTACACAATAGTTTGCATTCACTCGCCATTGAAATTCAATGTAATAGTCTATTGTGAACTCCTGTATAACTTAACTATGTTACTTAACCATTGTTTATTTAATTTAATAGATGGTAAAATTATTTTCTAAATACAATACCTCTTTGATTAAATTAATAGCACTTAAATCCAGTGTCTTAAATGTTGTCTCAATAACGAGTGGCATATTTGCTATATCTATAATACATAATACATATTACAGTATATCATATGTTTTAAATAGTATAACGAAATAATAATAATTTTCTATTAAAACTAATTGTTGAATTATTAAAACAGCAACCAGCTAGGCAATAAATCCTACAAGATATTGCCACTTAGAATAACGTACACTTTTAATTGCAATATGAACAGCTAATTAAAATTACTTGTAAACATTTCTTGTGTTAATTGATTATCAATAATCACAACATTAGGTATAAATTGTGTATTGATCATGTTCAAATATATACAAATAAAAACTGTGTATTTTAATTTAAAAACTAAACAAATGTTTTTCATTTTTAGTCTTGGTTTGTAAACAATAAAATATATACAGTATTTAAAACTAAACAATTTTCATCATAGACTTTATGGCACAAACAATTCACAACAATTTTTACTATTATTTTGTCACTAAATTATTGATAATAATATCTCATTCAATCATTTTTAGACACAAATAGTTTGTGTTCAAAATGTTTACTATTTGTTATATTAAATGATTGATTGAAATAAAATAAGAGAAGAGACAACTCATTAATTAATTGCCAGTAAATCATTTCAGGTATAAACTGGTTTACAGTCAATTCATTACTACCTGTATTATACTTATTATTAACATTTCTGTCAGTAATATATTTGTAAAATTACTAACATTTGATTGAAAATGTTTATGGATTTATACTCATGTTTTGTAGACAAATAGGATATTAATCGACTATTAATTCAATCTATTCGTGACTTTTATAAAATTGATTTAATTTTGATTTTTAGACATACAGTAAGTATATAATTGATTATAACTTGTTTTTCGTATTACAAAACATTAAATTACTCATAAATAAAATACAATGTAATATTTTATATTAATGATTTGGAAAATAAGTTATAAATTATATAATTTCAATTGTAATTCTTGATTTGTAGGCTCATGGTCATTTGTCTAGACTAGCAAATGTAATTTTGTATTTTCTTAAATCAACTAAATATTTAATTATTTTACATTAAAAAATAAAATAGAAAAAATTATTTTCTTTATAATAATAATATTATGCAATATTTACATTATTCGCGACAAATATAATTAAATTTGGTGTGAAATGCTTTATGTAATAAACACTTAAGCGCCACATATTTATTGTCCTAATGTTAAGCAAAATGCAAATAACATTTTTATCACTTTCGTAATGGCATCGATCACATAATATTTATACCAATTGTTTATATAATGTTTAGGGAAATCAATAGTTATTATGTTTGAATTTATAATACAGTAAATTCTTTGAATATATTTTGATACAAAAACAAAACACTTGCTATCAGTCATACACCAGAATATTCTTGTGTTGAATGCAAACTAAACATTGTTTTAACTAAAAAACAAATCGATTACATATTGTACTGAAAAGGTTTTTCTTATATTTTGTTTGTTTAAAAATTTTGTACTAATTTTGGTATAAATTCGAAAAATATAAGAAACTGTTGTCAAAAACGTGATATTCTGAAACGTGTGTGAATTCTATGCAAACAATTATCATTTAATATTGTCTGAAAATATTAGTTTATACAAACATTTTGTACAATTGGTGCACAAATTATAAACTTATGTTTTTTGGTATTACTAAATAGTATGTTTAAACATGTCTTAAGATTACTCTTATTAAAAAATCGACAGTTTTTTAAAGTATTCATTTACTACAAGAATTTTATTTAAAATTTAAATATCAATAAAAATGATTATAAAAGAGTTACATTTGGACTCATTTCACATGTTTATGCTATGCGTGAACACAATCATCCAATTGGTAGCTCTCATAACAAACGTGATAAGCATTCGGATTATATTTCTGATGGATAGACATCGGGTGAAAAGGGCCCGACTCTTGATGACAAACATCGCCTTTTCTGATATTGTGTTGATTTTATTAAAACTACGATTTCTTGTCCTACCCTTCATCGTAGCCGACAGTCCTCTACTCTCTCATGTCATTCAATCGGTGACCAACTGTTTAAACGCCACAACACTTTACGTTACGTCCATAATAATGGTTGTCATTGCCTGCGATCGCTATTATCTCATCACAAATGTCTTTGACAGTCCATTTGATGCCATTTCTACGAAATATTTATTATGGATTGTATGGACGTCCAGTTTCGTACTATCGCTACCATTTGCCGTTACATCAGATGTCTATTATTTTGATTACACCAACGGATCAATGGTATAAAGATTTTATTTTAATAACTTTATGCCTCAATATTTTTTATTCACATTATACTGTATTTGTTTATAAAATATTTTTAAAATGTAATAATATTTTTTACCATGTGTTAGATGTGTATAAACGATCAAAACTATTTGGTTTCCCTTAATACGGATGATAAGTTCCGACAAATTACACGATTATTGAGGTTTGCGGTGCAGTTTGCTTTGCCGTCAGCACTGGTGGCATATTTTTGCGCGAAAATAATTTTCTGCTTAAATAACACACAACTAATGGACAAGAAGTGGATCATAACGAAGAGATTTGTTGTGGTGTTTGCGATATTCCTCATCAAGAACTCAGCCTTTCATATGAAGTCCACCAAAAACATTGTCATAGAGATGTTGAGCGCCCGACAAACATATTCCTGTTATCTAAACGCAGAATATTATATACTTTACATTATATTCAATACGAGCGGCTCTTTTACATCGTTGATCTATTTCTGGATGAGCTCTGAGTTTCGTCGACTTTATAAATGTTATGTCAATCAATGGCTGTTTAAAAGTACAAACAGTGGTATTATAACCACTGATGAGACGACGGGTAATACATTTTATTTGTTAAAAGTGATTTTATTTTTAAATAATCTTATTTTAAACTTATATTTGACAGATAATAGTCAAAGAAAATCAATGTTGATTTACAACCAATTAAGTCGGAGATCAAGTGCCACACCATTTACCAAATGTATTATTTAATTACCGTACTTTTTGGTGTATATATTGTTTGAAATAAGTGCTAAATTGTATTATACAGTACTTTATTTTACATAAATCATGTGTTTCTATTGTACATGCGTATATTTTAAAAATATATAATTTGTTTGATATAAATTACATCATAATACTGTATGATTATACCATAATATAATTAATAGCACTAGAATTGCCATCTGTTTAAAAAAATTTAATTCATGAATCAATCCAATAAATTAACTTCAGGGTTAAAACCTGAAACATTTTAAATCTGACTACACTTAATAAGTGTCACTTATAGACCCTGGTTTTTTCATTGTACGGAACCTGTACGTTATATAATTATAAATTATTTTTAAATCTGATGGATAATTTGTAACTTATATTTACTAATTTGCTTATATTAACTTCAAGATATGCACATTATATCAAATTAATTAATTACTTATTAAATACACAATAAATATTTTTGTTGTTGTAAATTTGTTCAACCAACGTAACAAAATAGTAACTTTTAATTTACAAAACAATAAACTATATTTACAAACTAAATTAAAACAACTTGTAACAATATATACATAACAACCCAGTACAGTTTTAAAAATTATATATTACAAAAATTAATGCTAATAACAAAACC